GAAACAGTAGAATTCTCTCTTGAATTGTGTGTATGCMTAAAATGTGGATAACTGGTCCATGATGATTGATTTGTATGTATAATACATTCAGATTTAAGTGATATTTTGTGAGAAGTTCTATTGATATATTAAATGGGCAAATCTAGAAAGATTCAAACTTTTAAATATTTTTGATTTACTAATTTTTCCTTATTCTTAATGCTAAAATGAAACAAACTGATGCCACCTTTGACAAGTAGTTGCGTTTACTAATCCCTCTCTTCAGGTGCATCRCAGCAAGTTTTTAATTTTCATTTTGTAGATGTTTCCAAGGGAGTAAATAGACTTTTCATTTAGGAACTAATTCCTGTACTTTAGGAAGAAATAAAATATATAAATAGCACTAAAAATACCTCAAATTTTTCATTAGATAGAAGCATTTATTGGCATTATTGACATCAACAGGTTTAATTATAAACTTCCTTTTCTCTCCTGTGGCTTCTGCTCAGAACTGTTCATTGTTCTGTGGCTAACGAGACAAGGCATCATAACCATCTTCCTAGAGGCTTTATTTCTGAGGTAGGAATCCTTTATTTACAGCTTCTACAGAATACATTCAGATCTTTTATTTTCACCAGAGATTCTAGTGACAACAGACAACTGAACAAGCAGATAGATTTGGGTTCCTTAGACCTGTTATTGTCAGTCTCTGAGGGAGGAGACTTTGACATTATCTGGTATGAAGAAATCCAAAATAGTGTATAAGACTGTTATTAGTCTTTCTTTGAAGTGCCTGATAACATTTATGGGCCAACGGATGTGATTGAACACATTTTAATGCCAGAAAGTACAGATGGGACCAAACCAGAACATGGAATTCAAATCCACATGAGGTTTGAAACCAGATCTAAATCTAGCTTTTTTTGGCTTGGACCTATCTCTACCCAAAACTTGTTTTATGAACTCACTGTAAAAGGGTTTATTGAAAGCATTGAGAGGTGGAGCAGGAGGAGAGATGTAATTTTTTTCAAGATGACTGAAAGTTCTCATACAGCTGATGTTTTAGAAATAGTGCAAATATCAAGAAGTGCTTCCTTGCTACAATGCTGAATGTTGGAGCTTCAGTTACAAATAAATAAAAAAAAATTAAAAATATGAAAAAAAAAAAAACCTAGAAGCAAGCAAGTAACTTAGCTGAGTTTGTGGAACACGTGGGAAGGCCTTCCAGATAAGCGATTTACTCAGCCAAACATTTTATAGCAGAACTATTCCTTGGAATTTTTATGCTTGGGAAAATAGTTGTTAAACATTCCAAAAAGTGCTGGCACTTACAAAACAACAAAAAAAAAATCAACAAGGCAGTATAAAATATTGGTTTTGGGTGGCTATCTTCATACATAAACATTGTCATGTTTTGGAATGTTCTTTATATCTAAGGGCCTGTTAGAAGGTGTAAAGAATTTTGTTTTCTTCAATACCTAATCGTTTTCCATCTTATGATTTGTGTGTGTGTGTGTTGTACAGCAGTATAATTTTTCACTTATTTATTCCATCGGTAGTTATGGTTTGTACAATGTACAATGGTTTCATTTCAAAAATAAAATAAAAAATCACAACATGAATGCTGTGTGAATAATTTTTTATCAGAAAACTTAATCTCTGGGTTTTTTTTTTTAATTTACAATAAATTCCTGTTTTTATAAATGGTATTTTTAAATGTGCATTCTGTGGTGTTGTTTCATTTGGTAATGTGTAAAATAATCCACCTTTGAGCAGTCCAAAGGTGTCTTGATAATTGTGTGGTGGGGTAGGGGCAGGTGGTGGTTGTAAGAACAACAAACAGATATGGCCACTGTAATTGCAGCAATCTGCAGAATAATTTGGTAATTTAAGATAATTCAAGTACCAAATTCCTTGTTTTGTGCTCGGTTAATGTGTTGTGGTAACTGAAATTGGAGGGGGGAGGGAAGGCAGAGTGTGGAAGCGCTCTTCAGTTTGGAAGCGGGCTCGAGTCTGATGCTTGCAAGGGTAAAACTCCCRAAGAGTTTTGGAAAGATTCTTTACATTTGAGATGGCTATAAAGTGTCCAGCTTATTTTTAGTGTGTTCTGTCCCAAGGTGGCCTGCAGTTCCACAGGCAGCTGGACTGCTCTGCTGGCTCTGGCTCCCAGAGGGGTGAGCCCCAGCCCTCACTTTTGCTGATAATATCCTCACCAACCCCTTAAATTCACTAACCTGGGAAGGAAACTGTTTTAGTTGATTTTTTTACTTCTCCAGATTAGTGAATTAAACCAAGAGACGCTTATAAAGAGTTACATACGGGGTGGAACTGGAGAGAGAGGAAAGGACAGGTAGAAGCAAGGCTGTAACTCAAGATGGATCCCAGAAGGAAAGGCCTCTGAACAGGTAGGGCTTGTGCCAGGGAGAGCAGCCTGGAGCAGGGCACAGCTGGAGGTTGTCCCTGGGATTTCCTGGGAGCAGGATGGGCACAGAGCCCTGGCAGAGTCGGGCATGGCTGGGTTAGAGTCCCACACTCAGCCCTGGCCCAGGCTGTGAGTAAAGACTCAGCTCTTTCCCTCATCAATATGCAAATTCTTATCTTGCTGGCTGTAGATTGGGGAGGATAATCTTGCCACTAAGTGGTGTGGAATACACTGTGGGCATTAAACAGCTTGGATGTCTGTTCAGTGTGTATTACAGTTGAATTCCTCCTGTGCTTAAAGCCTATTTCAAGGAATTGATGCTGTTCCTTGAAGGAACATCATCAGAAGCTGGTGGTCTGTGTTTCACCTTGCACTGTGGATTGATGAAAAACAGTAAGAAAATATRTACTCCAAAGATGCTGTGGCCTTTCAGTGTTTCCCTGTGCCTCCTGGAATTCTTTGCTGTGCAGGAGGAGAGGCTCACTGGCAGTCTTCAACTCTTACTGATCACCTAAATGTTGATCTTAAAAAGGCAAACCAAAATAAGTGGATTTATTTTAAGGGATGCCCCTTTCCTTACATCTGTCAGAGCAGAAAATCCTGACCTTTTAAGTTAGTAGCTGTAGTTCAAGGCAGCTGCCCCTTTTTTAAATGGTTGGTGTACTGCTAACTCTTCCTGGAAAATTGCASTGCTACCTAATGAATTTATTTTAACAAATTACGCCTCTTTTCCTACAGGAGGAAACCTGTGTGTCTTAGAGTTTAGTGAGGTCAACGTGCAGGCTGTTGTGATGGAAGTACTTTATATGGTGCTGCTACTGATGTGATTTTTTACCTCAGGTTTAGTTCTTAACAAACTACATGGAAGACTTTTAATAGGTATCGTTCAACTGTGAATGTTGTCTTGAAATGTAATTTTTTTGTACTTAATATAGTCTCAGAATGCCTTGCAGGGAGGCAGCACTTTTTTATTTTTTTTTAAGCAAATGTTAATGCAAGGTAGCAATAACCAGCTTTGAAGCTAAATATGACTGGCCCTTTCTTTGCAATTTGAGTCATTTGTGATGCTGACTAAGAGCTGAATGCTAGTTYTGGTTTTTAAAGATCTGAGAGAGCTGTCACATGATGTGATCATTCCTTATTTTGCTTTCARTGTGGGGAAGTGTTTGACCTACTACTCCTCCTCTAAACACAGGGATCAGCCTTGATTCCATGCTAATGGGGAATGTCAGATCATTGYATGGGCGTAATTGTGATATTGCAGGCATGCCTCTTCTTTCCTCGCCCAAGACTTGCTCTCAATTTCTTAAGTCTCCCTTGAACTTATTTCTGGTTTAACACACCAGAAAATGTAGCACGTGGCTATTTAATATTTGGAGACTTTTTCTCTCCTGAGGGTGCCTATGGAGAAGAGCCTGTTTTTTTGTCATTTTTTTTTTAAGTTTGAGGTCCTAGAACTGAAATAATATAGGCAATTTAGTATAAATGCTTTGAAATACGCATCCTAGGATCTGACTGCTCACTTGGTCGTGGAGGTTTGTGCTACAGGACAAGTTTGAGATCTTTTCCCTTGACTTTGTGTACATGTACATATGTTTATGGAGTTTTGTGCTGTAGGATGATGCTCTCTTCCCTCACTTGCCCTACTGCCGTGCTTTTATGTTGACCTACAGGACCCATTGCTTCCTTTATGCTTTTCAGAAGGATGAAATCTGATCTTTACTTCCCCTGAAACAATTGTGGTTCCTCTTCATGTGCCACTCAGAAGGTACTGGGTTAGGTGTGAGCCACCAACCTGGCAGCAGAAGCTCTGTGTCCTGACCTCTCTGTGACTTCAGGTCTCCAGCTTCTCTGGTCTCCTGGCTTCTTGCAGTCTGCTTCTGGGAAATAATAACCAAATTAGTGTACTAAAGGCAGTTTAAATTAGCATTTCTATWGTGATGGCTCTCTCAACAGTCTTCAGCCAGTTGTGGGCTATCCTCTACATCTTGTGTTCCTCACAATCCCTGAAGTTTAGGAACGTTTTCTGTAACCATTAGGGCTGGAAGGGCCCTCTGGAGATCTCTCAGAACAAACCCCCTTGCCCAGGCAGGGTCACCCGGAGCAGGTGACACAGGAGCACATCCAGGTGAGTTTGGAACATCCCCAGAGAGGGACAGTCACGGCCTCCCTGGGCACTTCCAGTTCTCCCARTTCTCTGCCACCCTCAGCGAAAGGAGTTCTTCATCGTGTTGAGGTGAAACTTTCTGAGTTTTAGTTTGGTTTAAAAAAAAGTTGACCTGCTGGATGGAGGTCCCTTCTGGATCATTTAAAGGAGTGGGGATATTCCCGTCACAGGGCAGCAGCAATGCCTTCCCCCTTTTACCCTTTTTTTTTTTTTTTTTTTTTTTTTTTTCTTTTTTTTTTTCTTCGGGATCCCGGTGGAAGCTCAGGGTGTCCCCCTTTCCCCCCCTCATGCCGGGGCCTCCCCCGGGCGCGGTCGGTCCCGCGTTGCCGGCGGGGGCAGGGCGGTGGCGGGGCCGTTCCGTCGCCTTTAAGCGCGGCGGGGGCCGGCCCGGGGCGGAGCGGGGCGGTGGCGGCGCAGAGCGGGCGCGGGCTCGGCCGCGGCGGCAGCAGCAGCAGCGGGGCCATGGCCGCCGACGTGTTCATGCGGCCGGCGCGGCTGCTCGGGGCGGCGGGGCCGCTGTCCCCCCGCACGGAGCCCGACGAGGACTCGTCGGACACGGACGATGGCGGAGCCTCGCCGGGCGGGGGGCGGCGGTGCGGGCCGCGGCGGGGACAACCCCCGGGCCCGCAGATCATCCACTCGGGGCACTTCATGGTCTCGTCGCCTCACAGCGAGCACCCGCCCAAGAAGGGCTACGACTTCGACACGGTCAACGAGCAGACCTGCCAGACYTACCAGTTCGGGGCGGCCCGCGGCGGCGGAGGCACCGGCGGCCGCCTCAGCATCGACGCGTCCCTCACGAAGCTCTTCGAGTGCATGTCCCTGGCCTACAGGTACCGCCGGGGGGGTATGAGCATGAGCGGCCCCGGGAGCGAGTCCCGGCTGCGGGGAAAGCCCCGGCCGGGCTGGGCGGGGGGACCGCGCCGGGGCCCGGGGCCGTGTGAGGGGACGCCCTGGCCGGACCGACCCACACGCGGCGGTTCGGTGCCGCTTTTGTTTCTCAGCGAACTTGGTTGGGGATGGTGGCGGGCGCTTTTCCGCAGGCCTGAGGCCCGTGGTGTGGGGTGAGCGGGGGGCTGTCGCTGCCCCTCCCGCGCTGAGGGCTGAGGGATGGGGTCCCGCTCGCCCGGCTGGCTCCCGGTGCCGCTGGAAGCCCTCAGCATCCCGCGGCCAGGCTGCGAGCGAGTGGAAGCCTCTAGTGCTGAACACAAACCCTTAAAGGGCAAAGTGACTCCGCTCGCCGTGAAACCCGGCCAATTTTCCTTTTTCCCCTTCCCAAATTTTATTTTTATAACAAAGTCAAGCAAGCGGACTCAGTCGCTGTTTCCTTTGTTCCTGTGGCGGCTGCAGCTGGTAGCAGTACTTCCTGGGTTTATCTGCACCTTTTGCTCAGACTTCAGTTGTGGTTTTTATCTCTCAAATAAGGCGTTATATTCACATTTATCCCCTTTGTCTGTCATCCAAAATGGAGGCAGAGCTGWGGAATAGAAGTGTTTTGGAAAGATRTGTGTCTGCTCGAGTCTTTTGTTCCGTGTGATATAGCAGAAACCGGATCCAATCTGATGTTCTCTGCTGAGCGTATTTTGGAAGTTGATTAAAAGGGTTGATGGAAAATGCCTCTTGGCATATCAACGGAAATGTTTATTTTCATCTATAGGAACYACGTTAGCTTGCTAAAAGAAAATTAACTTTGCCTACCCCAAATTCCTCTATTTAAGTATTACTCAGTGGAAGAGGAAACAGTAGTACTATCTGTTCTGTACAGCAGCAAGAAGATGTAATGTAAGTAATCTTAAAATGTTGATAATATTGGCCAAACGTGTTATTGGGTATTGTCAGGAGACTGAACCTCGATAGCATGTGTGCAACAGTGGATGTAAGTACTTTGCACTTATAAAAGAAATAAAAATGAAAGCCTAACTAAAAATTAATCAATCTGCCTTTATTGTAAAGCTGGGAGGAACATGCAAAGGAACCACAGGTATTATGAAGGACAGAACTGGACTGCTCATGTGCATTGAGCTCTGCCACCTTGGTTTTATTTTGTGCTTCCACTAGTGTGTCTTTGGGATTTTGAAACTGAGGATCACATCTAGTGTGAAGGAATAATTTTGTTACACTAATAGACTATACTGAACTCTGATGTAGGTGAATAAATTAAGCACCAAATATATTTTAGAAGAAATAGTTTTATTCTGCTTGCTGGTGGTTGTGTGAGGCAAGGTGCAGAAAATATCTTCTTAGAGGCTGCCAAAGAAAAGCACATTCTTAATGCTTCTGTCCTTGGGTACCTTAGGGTTTGCTGAGTTGCAGCCCTGAAGCATCCTGCCCAGATTCAGCCTGCTTACTCAGCATCTTGGGGATATAATTTTTAAATCTGCCAAACAAACCAACGGTAAATCTGGATCCRAAAAAGATTAAAGTAATCCTGGCAAGTCTGATTTGGGTGATGAACATGGCTGTGAAATGAGAAGTGGTCTTTATATAATAAATTATTGAGCCTGTATGTTGTAGGTCTCTCTGTCCACATCCTCCTCAGGTTGGTTTGTTCTTGGTTGGTTTAGGGGATGTTTTCTAGGCTGTTTTCTAGGATGTACAGTCTAGGGGATGTTTTCTAGGCTGGTACAGCCTCAGCTGTACCTTTCACATTTTTGTCGGATCCAGCACTGACAAAGCATGTGGATTCTTTGTTAATGTTTTCCATGCTGCCTTTGCTGGATAGAAATTCACTCTAGAAAGAATTGGAGGTGTGGAAACCAACACCAAAAACTGTAACAGAGAGAGGTGAAGAAGTGTGGTTTTTGCTTTGTGGGGCCGTGAGTTGACTGCAGAGCTGGGCAATGCAGGCCTGTTAAACACAAACCCAAGGAAGCTGCTGTAACGGAGCTCTCTGTGTAATATTTATTTACACGTGACACTTATTGCTGGTATTTCAGTGTCTAAAGTTTTAAAGAGAAGCAGTAAAACGTGTGGTATCCATTAGYTTTGCCGATGGACTAGAAAGCATATTTTTTCTAGATTACCTCAGTCATTACCTGGGTCATTACCTCGGGTGGTTTGTTTGGAAGTGACCAAATTTATGCAGAATCACGAATGCATGCTGTACCCTGAGCTCTTTTAATTGTGCTGTAAATTTTTTTAGAGTTTGGCTTTGTGCTGTTAACGGTCAAACTTTTTATGATAAAAAAAGTTATTTCTGAACACCAGGGAAGTGATTCCCTCATGCCTKTGAGCTGTACAAACCAACGTGATTCTAATTTTCATCACAGCTGTTGCAGTCATGTATCCAGTTGCACAGCTTGAAAAGTCTCATTTCAGATAAGCCATTCCAGAGGGGAAAATATACCTATAGTATACTCCCCTRTACCGTGAGCAGTTAAAAACAATTTTAAAAATTAATAAGTGACTTATAAATAYTGGGGTTTACAACAGGTGTCACGCGGGCTGTACGTTATCTAAATGTCACTTGTTTTTCTGATGAGATTGATTGTAGGAACTGTACAACCTGACAGAGGTAAAAGAACATTGGTTTTCCCCTTTTAGCCCCTTCATCTCAGCTCTTTAAACCAATGYAACCTTGCAGACCTTGACGTGTAGGTAGCTAGAATTGACTTGTTGCAGGCAAGCCACTTTAAAGGCAAAAAGATCTTAAAAAATGTGCTTCTCAAAATGAGAGAGACCTTTGACGCTGCTCATTCTAATGAGAAACTGCTGCTGGTTACAGAACCTACAATATGCAGAATTAAGTAAAATGTTATGTCRTCTTGATATTTGATTTAGAAAAGCCCTCTAATAACTTTGCCATTATCCAAATAATTACATTACCCAGAAATAACTTCCCAAAGCTGAACTGTATTCAGAAATGTTCCAACAACAGCATGTCATGAAGGTTTTTTTTCCTGAGATTGGGACAGAAGAATTTTTTCTCTTTGTTTTGGAGACTTCTTGTCTCCAGCATAAGAATCATGTTCAGCTCTATGTAGAATGCAGGCTGAAGGCTTCTGTGAAGTGAAAAATTGTTCTTTGCAAAAGGCCACTGTAAACCATTTATTGCCCTGACAGTCTGGAATATGTGACATTGGACTTCCCTGTGGAAAGCTCTGCTTTGAGAACAATGATGCACAGTTTAAGGTTCAAAACCTGAAATAGGAACTTTTCATAATTCCATATGGAGCTCTTAAAAAATCCATATTGGGAATCAGTGACCTTGTGCTAGGGTAGAGAGGTAAATCCTGCTGAAATGACTAATGTAATTACTGCATGGAGTAGGAAATGCAGTGTGTTAATCCTGGAATAATTAGGTTTAAGATGATTCTTTATTTTCTCTGGGTGTAAAATGGGTAAGTGACGGTGCAGATTTCAGTGTGTTGTATACACGCCCTGTAAAGAARTAAGAGCTTGATGAGGCTCTGAGACCATGTGAATAATTAATTTTCTCTATGATGGTTCCCTTCTTGTGCCATACTGGACAGACAGTCCTGCAGTGGAGAGAATGGGCTGCTCAGATGTGTGTGGTCATGTACATTGGGTAGAGCACAAGTTTTATTGTAGGAATTACTAACAATATCTCTCATACTCAATGGTGTTTATGTCAGTCTTGTCCATGTCAGTGTAGGGCATGGTAGGGTAGATGAAGATGACTTGGTGGGTTCATTTATTCTTAAGTAGCCTCAGAGTTCTCTCACCTGCTAATGAGAGCTTAAGGACCATGCCAGGTGTTGTGCTTGAGGTAAGAGTGTTAAGGTTGGCATGAGATACTTGTCTAAAACCCTCTGGATCCTGCTTGCTAAAGCTTGCACGGAGCAGGAGAGTGGGGTCTGGGAACTGGGACAAAGGCTGCCTTGTGAACAGCTTGCCAGGTCATTTCTAGATTTCATCTCTCCTCTTTAGCAATATGACCCCTTCACTTCATGTAGATGTGAGCCAAAAATATTCCCTTCCTCAGTAGACTGACGTTAGGGGTCAGCTTGTTTCCAGAGCACCTTTGCCACACATTCTTTGTTAGTGCAGCCTGTGTTTGGGGAAGTTCTCAGCAGTGCTGATAGCACTTCGAGATTAAAAACTTCCAGAATTTAGTTACATATTCCACATGCTGYTTGTAAAAGCTGCTCTCATAAAAACACCTATATTCACCCTGTCAGTTAAGCCAAACTTGAGCAGAGTTGCTGTTAGARGTATTTATTAACCATAGTAAGGGTCCCTTCAAAGCAACGATGCTGTATTTAGGGTTCAGTATGAATCAGGACMTTGGTACTGAGCCTCTTACCCTGCTTATGTCAAATGCTTGATATAGTCACAAGCTTTTAAGCTCTGTGTAAGATGCACTTTGAAATTCCACCTTGACAGCCTTGAACCTCAGGACAGTTTGCAGGAGGATTGCTGAGCTGTTTTTGTTCCAGAGATGCATTTCTTTGCCARAGTAAACATTGGGTAGTGGTAGTGCAGAAAGGCCTCAGTTCAAGGTTTTGGTGTCTTCAGGGCTACAAATGACTAAGGAAAGAGCAGACGAATTCTGTAGACAAAGTTTTAGATAGAGGGTCAGTTTTATTTTGCTCCTGACTATTTTGGTGCGGACCTGGTTGTGCACGGTGTTACTATAGAAGTGTGGGGTAGAGGAGTCACATTTTTCATTAAAAAAGCACATTGTTATCTTCTGATTTGCCATTTAATCTACATGGTTTGTTGTAGTTTTCATCTTGTGTTTTCACTCAGTAAACAGATGTTATTTTCTGGCTTAAATACAGCATGGATTTCATAATCATAATTTTTGATGGATTGCTGAAATAGGGAAGAGGGACCTAATTTGTCCTCAGACTGTCAGTTCTCAAGAACT